TCCTGCACCAGGATGAGGATTTCCAGTGGCAGGAACTGCAACAGCAACAGCAGTTGCAGCAGCAGCAGCAGCAGCAGCAACAGCAGCTGCTGCTGCACGAAGTGACTGCTAAAACTCTCAATAAACAATAAGTGCCAATACAAATCCATTCAACTGTCAAAATCGTAGCCTTTGATATTATTATTTTATAAATAGAATATAAGGTCGTGAAGTCTGTCGTCGTGAACAACTGTACATTTGTGAGTGTTGATGCAACACAATGCTTCCACCAGGGGTTTTGTACACCTGTATTAAATGGTATTTACATAAGTTGTTTGGACACCTTTGACAGGGCATGTGAAGGCAGCTGTGTGAGTCCCGTAGACTTTTACCCGAAGAATTGGTCTAATCTTATTGTGACCACGAACAAGTATAGTATTGAATCATTAACAACACTGCAACTGGCTGAGGATTCGGCCAGTTGCAGTGGCCAGTCGCAGTGGCCAGTAGCAATGGCCAGTCGCAGTGGTCCACAGGACCACACACTCTACGACTGTGGGGTCCTATGGGCTAAGGCGTGTTACAAAACACGCGATTTCTAATAAGCATAGAGATCTCCAGTGAATACTAGAAAGGACTGCCCTTTTAGCATCCAGCCTGTTACTGGTTTTTCATAACAATTAGTCAGTTTCCTGGTCCAATTATCCATTAGAATTCAATAAGAATTATTAGTGCTTCAGGATTACAACTGGTAGGCTACTAACTAAAGAAATTAAAATTTAATAAGTTTATTTATAAAGTTGTCTAGGCGTATATTATCAAATTAAATTAAATTAATCAATATAAACAAATTAATAATAACCACTTCTCTGGTGTACAGTAGTATTGTGCTGAAGGCTCATGTCACATCTTTATGGCTTTTAAGTACTGTCTGGTACATTATTAGAATTTGACAACATAATACAAATTTATACAAGTAAGTTTGTGAGTATGTGTGTAAGTGCGCTAAGTAGTTCGCTATGTCTCAAGACTCGTCTAGACTTAACCAGTGACTGACTAAAAGTCCTCACATAAACTAACTTCTTGACCAACCTGGCAATCAAAACAATAAAGCGACTGTTAAGCCGAACAGCAATATAACAAGCAACAACGACACAGAATCAGGAACAAGGAGATAACATAACGACACTAAGTAGGGACCATCTGCAGATCCTCCACAAAAGTCACAAAACTCCCATACTACTGAATCTAAGTTCAGCATTAGAAAATCCCCGACTGTGACAGTACACAGATACCAGTACAAAATAGGGCAGAAGCTACAGCTCAGGACCTGAGTTTCTCAGAGTGTCTATAAGACACACAACCTCAGTACAACGACGAAAATCACTAAGTCTAGGCTATGTTCTGTGAACAGAGTCCCACAGAACCAACAACAAGAAAGCGACAGAGACGATCCTCCAACAAGGGCCAGCAAGGGAGAGCTAGGCACGTCTTGTTAGGAGAACGTCCAACCCAGAAAAGAGGGCGAGTCCAAGCAAGACAGTCTCACCCAGGTGAGGTGTGATCACCCCCCTGATCACGTGAATCCGTGCTGCTGCTGCCTAGCAATACAGAGAAGCCGGCAGAATAACGAGCAACGAGTGATAATTACAGTAGTTAGACAATCAAGACTTGAACTATGAGCACTGAATAATATATATAAATGTTACATCCTACCTAATAATATGACTAAGTCAAATAATAATATAAAGCAATATATTTACGATTTAGCTAATATCGCAAATATAAGCAATATAAATTATATGAACAGGTAATATACATTATATACATTGTGACCCATTCAGGGGTCGCAATAAGGCGTCATGTGATTTTCGCTCACCACAAGACAGAGCCAAACGACATGGGTTCGAATCTTCGGCCAGTCGCAGTGTTGTTATTGGTCTAATCTTGTGAAAGGCTTCGTCTAAATGGTTTAGAGAACCAACAAGTTGATAAATCAAACACTTGGGCAACATTTGGGCATTTTTTTTTTATTCTGGAAACGAGAAATTTGAGGTAATCAGTCCCACAGTCTGGAGTCCCAGGCTGAGGGACTGATTACCTCAAACGCCTCCTTATCTTCCACCGTTCTCTGTATTGGACTGAAGAAGCCACTGTCTGGCCATGACTCTCCAGATTAAAGATAACCATATATTGCACAAGTGTCTCAGTTAATAATGGGGTTTAAAACCTATCGACTGCATGAGGGACATTAACATCTCACTCTCCGTAAGTAACAAATATTTCTGTCAGTAAACTATAGAGTATAATAAATTTACAGACTATATACACTGACAAATATACTCCCCCCGGTGCACACACTCCCCGGTGCACACACTTCCCCCCGGTGCACACACTCCCCCCGGTTTGCACACACTCCCCCGTTGCACACACTCCCCCGGTGCACACACTCCCCCGTGCACACACTCCCGGTAGCACACACTCCCCGCGGGCACACATCCCCCCGGTACACACACTTCCCTCGGTGAAACACACTCCCCCGGTGCACACACTCCCCCGTGCACACACACCCCCCGGTGCACACACTCCCCCCGGTGCACACACTCCCCCGGTGCACACACTACCCCGGTGCACACACTCCCCCCGGTGCACACACTCCCCCGGTGCACACACTCCCCCCGGTGCACACACTCCCCCCGGTGCACACACTCTCCCGGTGCACACACTTCCCGGTGCACACACTCCCCCGGTGCACACACTCCCCCGGTGCACACTCCCCCGGTGCACACACTCCCCCGGTGCACACACTCCCCCGGTGCACACACTCCCCCGGTGCACACACTCCCCCCGGTGCACACACTCCCCCGGTGCACACACTCCCCCGGTGCACACACTCCCCCAGTCCACACACATCCCCCGGGGCACACACTCCCCCCCGGTGCACACACACTCCCCCCGGTGCACACACTCCCCCGGTGCACACACTCCCCCGGTGCACACACTCCCCCGGTGCACACACTCCCCCCGGTACACACACTCCCCCGGTACACACACCCTCCCCTCGGTGCACACACTCCCCCCGGTGCACACACTCCCCCGGGGCACACACTCCCCCCCGGTGCACACACTTCCCCCGGTACACACACTCCCCCCGGTACACACACTCCCCTCGGTGCACACACTCCCCCCGGTGCAAACACTCCCCCGGTACACACACTCCCCCCAGTACACACACTCCCCTCGGTGCACACACTCCCCCGGTGCACACACTCCCCCCGGTACACACACTCTCACGGTGCACACACTCTTCCTGGTGCACACATCTTCCCCGGTGCACACACTCCCCCGGTGCACACACCACCCCGGTGCACACACCCCCCGGTGACACACACTCCCCCGGTGACACACACTCCCCCCGGTGCACACACTCACCCCGGTGCACACCACTCCCCCTGGCACACACTCCCCACGGAACACACACTCCCACGGTGCACACACTACCCCCGGTGCAAACACCCCCCCGGTACACACTCCCCCCAGTACACACACTCCCCTCGGTGCACACACTCCCCGGTGCACACACTCCCCCGGTACACACACTCTTCACGGTGCACACACTCTTCCTGGTGCACACATTCTTCCCGGTGCACACACTCCCCAGGTGCACACACTCACCCCGGTGCACACACTCCCCGGTGCACACACTCCCCCGGTGCACACACACTTCCCGGTGCACACATTTCCCGTGCACACACTCCCCCCGGCGCACACACTCCCCCCGGCGCACACACTCCCCCGGTGCACACACTCCCCCGGTGCACACACTCCCACCGGTGCACACACTCCCCACGTGAACACACTCCCACGGTGCACACACTCCCCCCGGGCACACACTCCCCCGGTGCACACACTCCCCCCGGTGCACACACTCCCCCCGGTGCACACACTCCCCCCGGTACACCACACTCCCCCCGGTGCACACACTCCCCCCCGATGCACACACTCCCCCCGGTGCACACACTCCCCCCGGTACACACACTCCCCCCGGTGCACACACTCCCACCGGTGCACACACTCCCCCCGTGAACACACTCCCACGGGTGCACACACTCCCCCGGTGCACACACTCCCCCGGTGCACACACTCCTCCCGGTGCACACACTCCCACGGGTGCACACACTCCCCCCCGGTACACACACTCCCCCGGTTACACACACTCCCCCCGGTGCACACACTCCCACGGGTGCACACCCACTCCCCCCGGTGCACACATTCCCCCCGGTGCACACACTCCCACGGGTGCACACACTCCCCTCGGTGCACACACTCCCCCCGGTACACACACTCCCCCCGGTGCACACACTCCCCCCGGTACACACACTCCCCCGGTGCACACACTCCCCCCCCGGTGCACACACTCCAAGATGGTTAATTAACTAAGTGGGTTTAAAGCCTATCGTCTACACGAGGGTCCCATCGTAACCGGTTCCCCACCAGTCAACATATGTTTTCTTCCCCATAAACTGATGTTAACCTCCAACATAATCACAACGAGACATATTCACCTCCTCCGTTGAAATGAGTTGAGAGGGAGATGACTTATTATTTGTCAGTCTTTATTGTTTACGTGACATGAGGTGAAATACGTGGAAGTTTTATGTGGTAATTAATTCCGGTCAGTATTGAGGTAATTAATTCTGGTCAGTATTGAGGTAATTAATTCTGGTCAGTATTGAGGTAATTAATTCCGGTCAGTATTGAGGTAATTAATTCTGGTCAGTATTGAGGTAATTAATTCTGGTCAGTATTGAGGTAATTAATTCTGGTCAGTATTGAGGTAATTAATTCTGGTCAGTATTGAGGTAATTAATTCTGGTCAATATTGAGGTAATTAATTCTGGTCAGTATTGAGGTAATTAATTCCGGTCAGTATTGAGGTAATTAATTCTGGTCAGTATTGAGGTAATTAATTCTGGTCAGTATTGAGGTAATTAATTCTGGTCAGTATTGAGGTAATTAATTCTGGTCAGTATTGAGGTAATTAATTCTGGTCAGTATTGAGGTAATTAATTCTGGTCAGTATTGAGGTAATTAATTCTGGTCAGTATTGAGGTAATTAATTCTGGTCAGTATTGAGGTAATTAATTCTGGTCAGTATTGAGGTAATTAATTCTGGTCAGTATTGAGGTAATTAATTCTGGTCAGTATTGAGGTAATTAATTCTGGTCAGTATTGAGGTAATTAATTCTGGTCAGTATTGAGGTAATTAATTCCGGTCAGTATTGAG